GAGAGATCTCGCTGTTGTAAAAATCTTCAACAAAAAATAGATTAGCACCAAACAAAAGGAATTTTAGAGGTAATTTTCTCATTCAGACAGTACAGAATTCCCTAGTGTCAAACTCACCTCTTAAGTCACTTGTACAGGACTTGCTAGATCGTTATCAAATTCTTGTGCAAACTAGAACAATAAACATCTGAAGAAGAGGTATTTTGAAGGGGGGGAGGGAGGGGAAGTATGCCCTCTTATATATGACTGCCAAGCTTGATTTTCATCCACTCCTGCTGGCACGACTTCTTTTTGCTGCCAGTGTATCTGTGTTGTCACACGTCACAGGGCTTATGCTTGGTTTACAGCTTTATTATTAGCAATGCTGCACAATCTGTATGCCAGAACATCTGGGGCATCGTGTAAATGTAGAGCATTTGCATAGTGTGTAGCATTAGAAGAATCTGAGAAATTTAAGTAGGATTTGAGCTGGTTATCCAGCAGTGGCAAGAAAAGCATCCAACCTTAGCGCTGCTGATGTGGGCAGAGATGTACGTGTTGATGTCTGTAATGAAATCAAGTAGTCAACAGTAATGGTGAAAGCTGCTTAATACATCAAGAGACAGAAGGACTTCTTGATACATTTTAATATCCTCTGTTGCATTTCAGTTGATTATGTCAATGCTCCTATTAGGGACCATCATCTTTGCTATAATAATCACTCCAGGGTTTTTTTGTCATATACTAAAATGCTCCTTGCCTTTTCTCCTCTGGGTTCATTTATTCAACACAATGTTACAGTTGTCTTCAGATGTAGTGATAAAGTATCTGCTCATAATTTGGTTGTGTTTTGCCTCAGAAATCTTTTTAAGACGCTTTGCAATTGAAATGCATTATATTTCAACCTTGTTGAACTTAGTAAATGTGTAATGATCCTCAGTTCAAAGAGTTGCACTGAGTTTTTGTCTGTCCCTTGTCTGGTTAGGTGGAGGAGAAAAATGAAGCAGATACAGAAAAAGCATCAATGTGGGGAGGAAAATGCATTTTACGTGCAAAAAAAAAAAAAAAGCTTAGCATAGAAATGCAATTTCCCTTCTTTTCCCTATGCCTGTTGCTGTTCCTTATTGAAGATTTTTGCTCATGTAGTTGACTTCATAGTCTGGAATATCAAGGCTGGGAAAGCACATTTCATTTTCAGAACAGATTTTTGTAATTTGTAAAGGTGTCCAAACTAGAAGCAGTGCCTGTACTGTCTTACTTCAAGTAGTATCTTGGAGTAATTTTTACTTGCCTCAGATACTTGTTGGCTTTTACAGATAATCCCCAAGACTTGTAACAGAAAAAGCTTATCAAAATAGTTTTGCTGGGAAAGCCTATTTTCTGGTTTTTGTAGTCTGCCATACAGAAGTAGAAGAGAAATTATTTGCAGTGTGGCAATGAAACTACACATTGGTGGAGGGACATGGTGTCTTAGGGACATGGTTTAGTGGTGGGATGGCAGGGTTAGGTTAAAGGTTGGACTCGATGATCTTAAAGGTCTTTTCCAACCAAAGCGATTCTATGATTCTATGATTCTATGAAATCAGTTGCATGATTACTTTCAGAAATTTTGTGATTGAGGATTTAAGTTTATCTTCTGCTTTATATGTTACATTTTTATATGTGTGTGTATATATGTATATATATATATTTAAAATTTTTTTCCAAACAAATTAGGATAGTTCTACTTAAGCTATGATTTTTGTGGGGCGCTTTGTTTTTTATCTGGGAGAATGACTCATGCACACAGCAAGTGTGTATCTGTATATGAAAGGGGTGTGTGCACTCACATATATGCATTTATAAAAGTTGTGGACACTGGCTGGGTTGCAAAGAAATGAGTTATTCTGATCCCTCAGAAGCTTTGAAATAGTGACGTCCCTTTCAGGACTTCTCCAGCTAGTTATCTAGGGAAGGATGGTATGAGGACTAGATGGCGGATGACACGCTTCTTTGCTTGCTGCTGGTTAGCAGGGCTTGGTATCAGCGTTTGTCATTGCTGTAACGCAAGGTAGAAGTAACAACATCTATTGAGTGCATGTAGGAGCTCCGTCTTCAATAATCCTGTAGCACAAATTCAGTTTTCTACAGGCAGCACTCAGTCATAGAGGGTTGGAATGGGTAAAACCATCAGCTTTGCTGTCTGTAAATGCAGTTTTGATTTTCATTTTGGTTTGATTTTATGTATATTTCTGTATAGGGAAAGGGAAGGTTTCCTTTTCTGTGTACTCTTTGTATTTCTTAGAACACCCTTTCAAAAATGAATGCTTCTACGTGAATGTTTAATACAAAAAAAAAAGTAGTAATTTGCCATCTGTTTTTGCAAGACAGAGCGATGTCCCTGCTTTTGTCAGTGCTTTTACTTTCTGGAGTGTTAGTGACAGGGAAATGTTTTTAAGTACTTGTGTTGAATTGGAGAATTTATCACTTTAAGGTCATTTTTTAATGAAGCAACCTTAATGATATAATGATACTTTTGTTTTTTGTGTTGTTACTCAAATGCCACTGTTTGTCCCTACCATATGAGAGGAATAAAGTGTGAGGTTTTGACTCCAGCTGAGACGTTTACAGATGTGACACTTTGAAACAGGCTGGTTCAAATGTCCCCAATTTAAAATTCGGGAGCCTTGTGGGCTCCTGCAGTAGCTTCATGGCTGCTTCCGAAGGTCTTTGCGGCAGATCTTGTTGCTGGCTGCATCACTGGCCTGTGTTGTGCTGGATTTGGGCTTGTGAATGAGATGGAGCCCAGGAAGAGGTTTGAAGAGCCTGGCCACAAGGCTTGGTTGCTCTCCGGCCAGATGCCCCCTGCGCAGGGTCCCAAATGGCAGCCCCCGTGCCCCTCTGGCCTTTGCCTCAGGCTGACATCCCACCACGCGGCCTGGTCTTTCTGTGGGGCAAGCTGCCACAGGGCAGCTCACTCGCTTAATCCTGACTCGGTGACGCTGTGCGACCTGTCCCGCCTAACCTCAAAGGCCTCGCCTACCGTTTCGCTCTGAATGTAGATCATTGCTGTTGGGTTTCTGGGGAAGATGAACTGTTTCTCCCCAAATACCAAAGCTGTTATGAAGGAGTGGGTGAGCAAGAACATATAAAACATCCCTGGTAGGACTTGGTCTCTAAAGTCGCCTATTCCATGTTATGGGACAACTACTGCTGTTGACAGGCCTCAGGGCTTGTGTAGATTTAAAAGTAGTTTATTCTCCTTCATCAAGTCTACTGAGGGAACTGCAGGTGCTGCGTGCGCTGCTCCATGCAGACCTCACCCGAGGTGGCTTCGTTTGGCATTGTGGAAACACAGCTTGGAGGCTTGATGCCTCATGTGGCGGGTATTCACCCCTTGTTCATTATTTTGATATTTAGTAACAGTGAATGTATTTGCCGAATGTGCGGTGTGTTTCTGGGGTTAGTGATTAGACCACTCCAGAGCTACTTGTAATCGTTAGGAACCGTTTCTCCATCTGCCCTGTCTGTTTTCAAAGCTGTGCCTGATGAGTGTACTGGGAGCACTGGGATTCGCGAGGCAAGAGTGATTTGCTTCCATTCCAAGAGGAAGCACCTCTTGGGATGGAATGAAACCCATTTGGGGAGGCTCATCTCTCTCCTTCCCTCCAGTCCTTCCCACTCATGTAGGAAGCAGAAGAAGGTTCCCAGGAGATGCTCCTTTACCACCCTTTTGTTGATCGTTCACAACTGGTGACCTGTGGGTTTGGAAGATGTTCTTGCTGGCTCTGGGTTCAGTTCTGAGGTGGGAATCATTAAAAAATAGATGCGTTTGCTCAGATTACCTGGCAAGAGATGAACCTGATGAGCAGGTACTCTCTTCCCTCCTCCTCTCCTCCCTCCATTGCACTGCTTTCAGGGAGAAGAGCTGAATGGAATACATAGGTAGTCAATTCTGAGTTACTCAGCTTGGTAGGGAGAGACCTAATTTCCAAATATTTTTCAACATATTTAGATCACTGCTGGCTGCTGAGGTCAGTGGTGCCATGCATGAGGGAAATCTATGAAGACATTTCCCAAAGTATTCTTTGTGATGAGAACAGCAGGAAGAGGAGATGGAGTAGATGTAATGATCTGTAGAAAAAATGGAAATAGGAAAAAACTTGGAAGCAGAAGTCTTATTTTTTACATCAAGATTTGCCTTTTTTCTTTTTGAATTCTTTTCAAAATGAATCATAAAAATCTAAGTTATTAAACAAGGAAACCAGATATGTTTGTTTCATTTTTGCTGGATCTCGGTGTAAACAAGGACTTCCACCGAGCACCCACAGCCTATTCGTGGAAATACAGCTTGATGTAAGAGGCCCAGAATTTTATTTTTAAGGTGGCATGCCTAACTTCAGTAGGTAACCGTGTTATGTTGAAGATACTTGAAAAAAATATCTGTTTTCACATACAAATATCTCTGATTACTTTCTTCCAATCTGAAATAATGCACTAGCACTTATTTGGGACCTGTCAATCTGAATAATATTTTAATATTATCGGGCTTCAGTGTGAGGGAGGCTGGTTCTGCTCCCATGAATGTATGTTACAGGCAGAGAGAATGGCAGGTTGTCTTCTTCCTTCCCTTGTTTTCCCTCCCCACATACTCTCTGCCAGCACAGACTGGGTGTGTACTGATCAAATTACAAGAGGTTTGGATTTTAATTGGTTCTTTAGGACAGTCCTAGCACATGGAGAGTCTGCTTTTTTGATGGGCAGAGGCTGATAAAGATTAGTCCAAGGACAGGTGAGTAGGCTAGGATCAGGAAGATGAGGGTGGAGCAGGAGGGGGAAATGGGATGTGAAAAAGCACAAAATGACTCTGCCGCGATAGCCGTGTACTTGGATGTGAAGCAGTCTTGCATGTTGAAATGTCTTGAAAGATATCAAGATAACTCCTTGCAGTAGCAAGTTACTGAATGTAATGAGGCAATAATGTCAGTGTAGATGCAGCACAGTTGTTGACAATTTCTTTTTCCTTTTTTTTTCTTCTGCAGATATTCCTGAAATACCAGAAAGCATCTCATTCTGCAGAGCACTACAGGTAGCAGATTTCAGTGGGAATCCACTGACTAGGTAACTTCCACCTTCCTCTTAGTACTTGCCATACCAGAATTACAGTCTTGCTGTAACAATTACAATTTTAAATAAGCCCTTAAAAATGGTGATCTAGGATCTCTATGAAATCTTGCCAACAGTGTCTGTCTCTGGCAGGGACTGCAGCAAAAGTTCAGATTCAAAAAGTGATGTGCATCTTTCCTGGGAGGGGATGAAATTTGTTAGCCAACCAGGAAAAATGTAAATCTGATTGTCTCTTAAGTAATTTTCATTCCTCTTCTTAAATGCAAAGGAAAACCATGCCCATGTTTGGGAGAGATAAGGCAATGGTTAGCACGAATGCTTTGGCACAAACCCAGGTGCCTGACGATTTGGAATAGACTTTAGATCAGCCGCTGCAGATAATGGCTTTTACTAATGATTAAAGCTTGGACTAGTGTTTCATCACCCTCCCATCGATTGGGACACAGTGACATGCAGTAACACGTGGCAAAAATGCATGGCATATGTCAGTGGCTGCTATGGCTGCTGCCGGTCTGAGTTCCGATGAGCTGGGGTCTGGGGGTTACGCACACTTTTGGTATGGAAGAGGAGTTCTGTTTACGTTTCTCTGTTCCATTCGGATGAATTTGGAATTTATCTAGTGAAATGAGGCAGGAGATAGCAAGGAAGAGGTGATCTGCTAGTTAAAGCCTTTGAATACTCTTTGGAGAACTGTTTCCTAAACCAACTGGTGCCACAGAGCTCCTTTAGTGGTGCTGAGCAAGTCTCATAAGCCAGAGTATTCACAGTGGCTGCTCCAAGACCTGCTTTGCTTTGCTCTGAGATGGGCTAGGAATACCTGCAGGATTAGCTGGCTGGCTGGGGTGCAGGAGGGCCAACAAACAGGAGAGTGTCTGTAATATCTTAAGCCGCTCCGTGGTTTTGCAAGACGGCTTATCCCACGTGTGCAGCTGAGATTCTTCAGAAGTGCACTTTGAATATCGCCCATAGTGCGTCCTAAGTTCTCTGGAAAGTCACATCTCTGAGCATTAAAGGGACACTTGTGGCCTTAATGCCTGTGCCTCTGTAGCCCATTTATATAGTGAGGATGATAATACCACAAAAATCCAGGAAAGCAAACTGAGGCTGAACTGATGTTTAGATAGGCAAGTGGTGAGGGTCACTGAACAGCTTTTTCCCAGGCATCAGTGTGCAGTACCTAAAGCTCAGAGCTACATCTCGTGGTATTGAAATCAAAATTGTCTGTAGTAGTGTGCTAGTTATCCTTCTCCATTTTGTGTGCTGAATAAGGCCTGGGGCCCAAGTAATGTGTTTCCTTAAACAGTAGTTGTAATGCACAGCTACAGCTGAGTGGAATTAACGGAAGAGTTGAAAGGCTTTTTAATGGGGTTGAAACAGATCTCATAACTCTTTGTTGACAGTTTAAGGGAATTTTAAAAATTCTTGATAAAGTGGCTCTGAAGTACATGCCTGTCCTGGAAAACATCACTCCAAGCAGTTTACTAAGTTAGAAAACACAGATACCATAAGCTATTTACACACGGTTGCCAGGTATTTTCTGTGATGAGATCCAGAATTTCAGTTTTACCTATATAACAGCATGTAAGTTTTGGTACTAATTGGCCCAGGCAGAGTGGGAAAGTCTAGGAGTGATGTCCTTTTCTATGTGATATCCTGGAACTTTTAGCCACTGATTCTTGTCCTTATTTCCTCTAAGCTTAAAAGCCAGTTGGAGATCTTCCCAATCAATGTCCTACCACTAATACAGTATGTTGCCTCATTGTCAAACTTAACGATTGATGAACCTGCAGCATTAAAAGTGGCTGGCAGGCCATTTTTCCAGCTGTTTTCAGATGAGTTCAGGTTTATATTAATAAAAAGCAGGCACATTTATTGTAGGTTAGACTGGAAGTCCACTGCATGCTGTAGATAGGATAGAATAGAATAGTTCCAGTTGGAAGGGACCTAGAGTGATTGTCTAGTTCAACTACCTGTCCACTTCAGGGCTGACCAAAAGATAATCAGACCATTTAACTCCAGTCTTAAACCTGTTGGAGCCTAAATGGTAATGAATAGTTAAAGAGGAGCTCACATTTTGGAGATATTGAGCGTGTTCTCTTAATAAGGTCCAGAAAATGACAAACAGCGCAGTATGGAGTTGAGTACATGAAAAGCCCTCCCTGCCCCCCCCTGCTGTAATTTGTCCTTTTCCCGTTCCCCATCATGGACAGTTGTACTTGCCTGTAGGCATGCATCTCCTTTTGGCTGGTTGCCTGCAGGTCATACCATGTGCCTTGAGCTGGGCGATGGGGAGAGCAGGAACTAAACCAAATGCTACAGCTGGAGCTTATGTTGCATGCTCTGGGGGTTGAGCAGAAGTTGGATGGCTGGGCCAGGGGCTTCTCCTCCTCTACCTCATTGTCCCTTTTACTCCATCCTGTCTCCTGTGCAACTGCAAATTGAGCTGCTTGGTGCAACACGGCTGCCGGCGAGCAGTGAGTGGTACAGGAATCTGCCCGCGTGAGGGGAGGGGAAGGCAAGCCTTGCAGAAGACTGACCGGGTGATGGACCTAAAGGCTTTGGGAACTTTGGGAATGTTTTGCGTATGGCTGCATTTTATAGTGTAAGAAGGGAGGGATTACACGCTGTTGTGTTAATGAACCAGTAAATGTGAAATGCTGTAACAGCGGAATGTTGTCCTCATAGTGAGCAGACTGTTTCTTCAAAAAGCAGCAACTGAGCAGCCTAGTAGCTAATACGAAATGGCCGTGCTGTAAGCATGTATGTAACTGAAGCCTGAATAAAAAAAAAAAATTCGTTTAATTATTTTACCATCTAGGAAAATAATAGTAAAAATGTTTTCTTAATATGCTTGATTTTAAAAATTTTTTAAAATGCTTAAAATGTTCTCAAGCCCTGTAACATTTTAAAGTTGCAAACTGGGGGCAGGGAAGATGGGCTAGGAGACAGGGATATTACCTGTTCTTCGACATAGAAGGAACTTTAAAGTCACTGAGTCATGGGTGTTTTTTATTTTCCTTACTGTGATCCTTTGAATTTTCTGAGAGTCACACTGGAGTCTGGACATGCCTCCTTTTGTGTGTATTTGCTAAATAGAATCCTGTTTTCTACTACATGTTCTCTTTTCCAGTATGTATTACACGAATGTGAATAATTCTGCTGGAAGTCCTTGATTTGAATTAATATCTCCATAGGTTGCCTGAAAGCTTTCCTGAGTTACAGAATCTAACGTGTCTTTCAGTAAATGACATCTCTCTGCAAGCACTACCTGAAAACATTGGGAAGTAAGTTTTTTATACTTTATTACTATCTTAATTTATTTTCCCTTTATTGTTACACCTATTGCATAAATGACTTGCATAATTGTATGTCATATACCTATAAAATCATTTACAGGTCTGCACTTATTTTTTTTATTCTTTCCAGTCTGAGGGACTGTTTTAAGAAGAATCCTTTTGCATTTTCACGTAACATTAGCAGGCTAATGCAGAATCTGAAGCGTGTGTATATGTTTTGACCCTGTTCTCCGGGATTTGGAGTAACTTGGAATTTTAGGTACAAAATTAAATAGGTGTTTTGTGATGCAGGTCTGACCTTTTGCTTTCCTTCATTGTAGTAGACCATTGATCCGTTATTGTGAACATGTCAGATCGCTTGGAGCTTAGCTCAAAACAATTGTTGGCACAAGAACAGATGGGAAAAAGCTACCTGTGATCAGGATGGAAATCAGAAGATTCCTAAGTATAAGAGCAGTCTGGTTCTGAAAAAGAACTCTGGTGGGAGCTGTGAAGATGAAAACTCATGCAATAGCTCTTAAGATGAAATTTAATATGCTTTTAAGATGCGTTTGTTAACTCTGCAAAGTAGAGCAGGGTTGCAAGGACAGAATTCCGAAGTGGAGACACATGGAAAGTAAAGTGACCATTGTTTATCTGTCTTATTTTGACTGAAATGAACATCCACACTTGTGGAAGGGAAACCTCTCTCCTCTTAGTGGAGAGAAGGGTATCTCTTCCCATTTGAAGGAGAAGAGGTAATTCCATGTCTCCTCACTTGAATATGTGAGAGTGGCTGTTCAGATCAAAGGGTCATCTAGCCCAGCTGCCTTCTACAGCTGCAATAAGAAGATGCCTAGTGAGGATAAAGAAAAGTTTGATTACTCCTCTTCCCATCCCCTGACTGTTCCTAGTTCAGAGGATTTCCTGAGCTTTGGATTTTGGTTTGTGTAATTGGTAGCCTATTATGAATCTCTCTTGCACGTACTTGTCCAGTTTCTCCTTGAGCTTTTGTAGACATCTTTAGTATTCTCCCCTGGAAAATTGCTGCACAGGCCTATTACCCATTGCATTGATTTGTTGTGAGGGTTTTTTTGAGCCTGGCTCTACCTACCTTGCCTATGATCCCTGGTATTGGAAGAGGCAGCAAGCAGCTGATCCCTATGCATTTGATCTGCCGTCAAGGCCTTTGTAGTTTTCTGCCGTATCCCTGAGTGCTTTTTTCCAGGCTGAAGAGTCTAACTTGCTAGTCCAGCTTCAGGAGTAGCCTTCACAGAACCTAAGATACCTGTACTTTAACTCAGAAAGTTATAGTTATAAAGTTATAGTTTGTTACTTTTGCTGAGAAACATACAATTTTAGAGAATTTGAAATTTCTGGCAGCACCATTTTTTAATTTGCTCTTGCCTTTGTGGTTACCTTGCCCATGCTGTTGCTTTAAGTTGCTGTGTACTGAACCACTTCCATCTTTCTTAAGAAAGCTACCGTAACTCAGATGTTGAGTCATGAGTGTCAGTAGAGGCCTATTAATCGTGGACATCCTTTCATAAAGTGGAATATTTCTAACATAGATGCTTTGGGGAGTCAGCATAGTCTCTAACAGCAAAGTCCTCTAGAAGTGATGTTATTATTAAGAGCTCCTGCGATGTAGTCAAGTTCAGACCGGCCTTGCTTTAGCCACTTCCCATGGGTATGAAAGCTGTCAGCTGGCACCACTCCAGCAGCAATAGAAGTGGAAAATGTCTTTTGAAACCTTCCGCAAGCGCTAACAGGTACAGATAATGTGCACCCAGTGACTATGGCAAAGTCTTACCTAAAAATTGCATGGGCCGGGGCTTTTGTGACATTCTTCCTTTTCTGTAAAAGTTCACAAAACTTTTTTCATGCAGCTTTTTGCAGCACTGGCGGCTAAGAACAGGCTTGTTCAGACTTTGCGGTTACTGAAAACCAAGGCCAAACATTTGGGATCCTGCCTGATTCTGAAAATGAATACAGAAACATGACAAGCTGAAACGATTCCCAAAGCATGAGGCGGACTGCTGCTTGGCAGACAGCAGCTAGAGGAAGGTTGCTGGTTTCCCTGAGAGGTCACTGGCTGCGGTGGCTCTGGCGTCTTGCATGTCCTGCCTGTCATTTGGTAGTGTGAGTGGTGACAGCTTCTGTTTTGGAGCAAATGATTAGAAACAACTTTGGTTAAAATGGGGATACCAGGCATTTGTAGGGATGTCAATATGTGGAGCTGTGCAAGAATAAGAGTAAGAATTTGCCTATTATGGATCCTAAGCAGTCCAGGGAAGTCCTGTGGTGCTGTTTCAGCCCTACGTGAGCTGTTGCAGAACAGAACGGTGTAACTAATCCTCCCTCAAAGTCTATATCTGATTCCTGATACTGAAAATAAAAACCCAGGGGTCCTCACTTGCTTTGGGAAAAGCATTGCTTGTCCTGGTGGTCTTGGTGTGTTCTCCCGGAGGGCTAGATTTTTGTTCAAGTGTGACAGGCCTGCTTTGATTTGGGAAGCGCTCCCAGGTTAGTTATCTAGAATACGAATGTTATATTTTTACAAAAACACTTTAATCTCATTAGTAGAAATTTCTGCTATCAGATTTATGCTTAAAGAAGCAGAGACAAATGTGTGGGGCTGTTGTCCTTGGCTCATCAGGTATTCATGACAGGTGGGAATATGGCAGTTGGGAAGCTGACAATAAGCTTGGGCTAAAGATGCATGCTTTCAGACTCAGAATAGTATTAATGTAACATGAGGGAAACTCATGGGATGTCCACCCAACATGTAACTCTTCCTGAAGTCTGTTGGGGAATGTCTTGGTGACAGAGAGAAAGGGATCCTGTCTGGTTTCAGCTGGAAATTATTGGGAGGTCTTGTTTGTAGGCAGCTAGAACTGCAACCTGAAGTCCTTATGGGTCACTTACCTCTGAGAGTGAATTTTATCAATTTTTTTAGCATTAGATCTATAAGTAATAGATTTATTTTTTTTAGTCTGGCTACCAACAAGAGCAGCTTTCCTTTTTTAGTTCATGGAATTTTCATCATTTATTGCAAGTGAGTTTGATGGTGTGGCTGACTGCCTTGTGTTTGGTAAAAGCAGTGAAATGCTCTGTGGCTTCTCCAAAAGTTGCCCATTTGTGCTGTTCATTCCCTTCTCTGTTCTTTTGCCTCTGCACTTGCTGGGACCCAAAAAATGCTAGGAATTAGAAAAAAAGTAATGCTTATTGTGTCGTTCTGGCCAAAAAGACCAAGTAAGGCTCTTAGAGGTGTTTGGATATGTTTGCAAATGCCTTACTTGAGTTTCTGTGTGCCCTGGATAATAATCCGTGGTGTTATTTGATGGAATAGGCTGGACCTGTGTGGTCTGTATGAGATCTGGCAAATAGTGAGCAAACAAATATATACTGGTGATTTATTCTATTACAGTTGGGCTTGTTTTGGGAAAAACTTGAAGTCCCTGTGCTTCCTGCCGGTTTTCTGGCAACCAGCACATGTGGAAACTTAGGGAAATGCATCCTAAATTCTTATGGTCTTATACTCTTGTCTGGGATACTGCCTAATACTGTGAAATCTCTAATTCATCTTCATGTAATACAGTGATCAGAATACGTGCGAATTTACCCTACTGTTTCAAATGGGGAAAGCAACAGAAGTAATGGCAAATATTTTCCAAACAGGAATACTTTGAAGGTTAGTTAGGAAGTTCTTCCTAATGGCAGATAATAGACTTGAATTACCTTGTGGTGAACCATTAGTGGAAGTGTGTCTTCCTCGTGAATTCAGATATCCAGTCCATTTTTTACATGGTCTGATACAGAAGCTGAATGCCAATGTTCAGCTTCGCTGTTGCAGGCCAGTGTCTGAACTTGTTGAAGCCACTGGTAGTAGAGTTGCTGTTGATATTTTTACTGTGCCATTAAGAATTCTTCTGCATAGACCTTTTATATTTTTCTTTTCCTTTGCATTGCCAAAAGGAATATTTTTAAGGGTCCCAGCTGGACATTTGGAGAACATAGGCAAGGCCTCCCTTGAACCTTTTGTCTTTCTTCTTGCTTGTGCCAGCCACACTCAGTGCCTGTCAACTTTTCTTATTCTGTGTGACCACTTCCATCTAGTGCTGGTGTACATGTTGCAAGTTTTCCGTTGTTAGATGAAGCATTCCTCTTTTAAGCTCAGGTATTGTTTTAGGGTGTCTTAGAAAGACGTGTGACACACTGCTTTACGACTTGATAGCAGGCTAGATGTCTTAATATTACCAGTGCTATTTTTTGTGTTTCTCTGTGATTTGCGTTCTCTTAACTCATGGTGTGGTTGCTATCTGGAGTAAAACACTGAATGCTAATGCATGTGAGAGATTTTAGCTAAGAATTAGGTGGGTGCAGCTTAGAGCAGGAGTTGGCCTGTTGGCTAGTTGAACCATTTGGAGAAACAAGTTACGCAATTTAAGCTGTGAGCAGGAGTGTCTTTTACAGCGTTTCTCAGTCTAATGAGAGCAAGTCTAATTTCCTTGCCTATTCTGCAGGACCGCGTGTCTGTAAAGCTGCCCAACGAGCAAGCATAACCTGTTCTTCCCAGTGTGGGTAGCATTTAGGAATTTCCACTTACTTCCAGGATTTTCCTTCAGTACTTCCTTATTAGTGTAACATGCAAATCACAGGGCGTGACTTTTTCCTGAAATTAAAAAAATCAGGGTATTTGTATGTAAGGGTATTTGGGTATATCAGGGTGTTTGTCTGTAAGGCTTCCTAGGGCATACCTTACAGTAGTGTGAATAATCTAATGTCTGTTTGTCCCTAACACCTTCTCTGTCCATATGTGTTCATTCTGTAGCATTGGCTTCAGGGTTAGCTCCCCACCAGCCCACTGTGATGTGGGCTTTTTACCAGCAAAGATTTGGGAACTTAGAGATCTGTACAGTTCTCTCATGGCTTAATGTATAGAAAGAGAAGAGAGGTGGTGTCAGCTTTGTGTGTTTGTTTATTTGTGGTTCTTAGGCTTGAACAAA